TTCAAGGCGTTCCGTTCGTCTCGTTCTCCACCATCATTTCGTCTGCTTTTCTGCGCTCTTCTCGTCTATTTTCTCTGGAATCTTTTCGTCTGCCGGTCAATACCATTTTTTGTTAGTTTTTGTTTTGTTATTTCGTATGTTCTGTCGCACTCTTCTTGTTGACGCTCTTTTTCTTACGTTTCTAAGCGCCATTTTTGTCTGCCTCTCGCCATTCTTTTCGCCCAGTTTTCGACGCATATTCGCTTGTACATTGCCGCAGTGAACCCCATTCTGGCCTTTTTCTTTTGAAATGCTCTCCGTGTCCTCTCAGTGCTGGGCAAGCTTTCTCTTTTTCGCCTTTCTCTCGCCTTAGCAACCATCCTCGTGCGCGCTTTCTTCTCACTAGCCTCGCGAGACGGTCTGGCCTCATCGCTCGCAAGGGTAAAAAAAAGTGCAACTTCACGACCGTCGCTTTCGTTCCCTTTCGTTACTGCAGACCACGGCGGCCGCGGTCGGTCAGTTCCACTTTTTCTTTCCACGCCCTACTTGCCGCAATGCAGCGCCACCGCCTCCTTTAACCTTGCCTTCACTTCTTTATAGTACTACTCACCTTACGTTCAACCTTACTTCGCCGTATTTCTTGTTCTTGTGGTCTACATAGACCCGCTCTTCTGTGTCTCTTTCCTTGCCATTGCTGCTTGCTATCTCTCGAAATTTCTTGCTGCACTTTTTTTCTAATCTCTCTGGCATCTTTTAGTCATTCATTTTCCTCGTCGGCTTCCGTCGACAAATCCCGCTGAGTGCTGCGATCATCTCTAATCCTTCCTCGCATCCTCTACTTCGTCCTGACCGACAAAAGAAGTAGACCTTGAACTGCGGCCGAAAACGCTTCCCACAATACGATCGCTATGTTCTTTCAATTCTTGCTTTTTTTCTATTTTTTTTTCGCCACATCACCATAGCACCCATATTCAACCCTATCTTCTCGTATACGAGGAGGCACTGACACAGAACAAAGCAAAAAAAAAAAAAAACTCAGAAAAACATTTGGGAAGCATCGGACTTGAACGGCTGCTACCGTGTTTCGTCTGGACTGCTAAGCCATTGTTGGCCGTCCTCGATCACGTAGGTGTTTTTATTTTTTTTTTTCAAATTCTGTTCCCTGTGTGTGCCGCCAGCGCCACGCCGTCGTGGTTTGCTATGTTGCCGGCAGCAAGGATTAATCCGCCCTTGAAACCCATTGTGTCTGTTGCCCGATACGCACCATTGAAGAAGAAGTAAAATAGATTTTTTTTCGTGATCCCTCCCACCCACCAAGTCCGGTAAAGATGCCTGCGACCTTGCTAGAAGCTGCGTGATAAAAAAACAACAAACAAATAGCTGTATTAAGGAATTCGAGGTGAATTGGTGTAGGGGGCGCCTAGTTGTAGTAGTATTGAGGCCGTGGGGGCGTTCCCTTATTCGTGCAGGCGGGTTGCCGTTCACTTTCGAACGATAGTCCGGCCTCCGATGGTCAGCTTGCGTGTGAAGTTGTCCGTCCCCTTGATTCATGTTGTTCGTGGAGAACTAAATGCCAGTGCTGCTGTAGTTACAGCTGTACATTTAAGTTCGCAGTGCTTAACCACTGCTGAAACTGCAGTTTCAGCAGTGGTTAAGCATCCGGGTCCAAGTGCTTCTCGTAGCAGCTTTTATCTTGGATCCTGTCACTGCGTAACCATGTTTATATACAGTTGAAACAAATGATACACAGAAAGCCTTATGTCTAGGTCGTTTTCTGGCTACGAGAATCGCTTTCGACGCATGCAGCCAGCAGAACGAGGAGCTGTAAGATGTTTTTTTTTTATATAAATCCGAACAGGATTGTTTGAAAACGAGCCGTTTGATAAGACACAGAAAAAGAGGCTTTCTAGTGATCCATTGAGGACATTTGCCCCGCCGCGGTGGTCTAGTGGCTAAGGTACTCGGCTGCTGACCCGCAGGGCGCGGGTTCGAATCCCGGCTGCGGCGGCTGCATTTCCGATGGAGGCGGAAATGTTGTAGGCCCATGTGCTCAGATTTGGGTGCACGTTAAAGAACCCCAGGTGGTCTAAATTTCCGGAGCCCTCCACTACGGCGTCTCTCATAATCATATAGTGGTTTTGGGACGTTAAACCCCACATATCAATCAACCATTGAGGACATTTCAAGCACTACGGACATTTGTGAACGCCTGTGACTGTTGTGCACTGCCACCGTCGCATAACTCTGTGTGCATTTATTGACCATTTTCTTTCTTTTATTCCTTTACTTTGTATCCCCCCCTCTCTCACCTTTTCAATCTCCTTTTCCTTTTACCGCAGCGTAGAGTGTACGCAACCGGTTTGCTGTATAGTTAACCGCCCTGCCTTGTTACTTTTGTAGACCTTCCTTCCTAGAGGCCATGCTAAGAATAATCGTACTTGAATACGGTTAAAACAAGTCTAACGAAGAATAGCTTGGTCTAACTTGCTTTGGGAAAAGGAGCAAACCATTGGTTTGCAGAGATTCAACTTTATATTGCCTGACTGCTCCACAGCCCCACTCCTGATCTTTCTTCATTCACACTTGCCTTTAGCGAAGCGACTCCCAGACAGTCCCTTTTTGTAGCAATTACGGCATGCATCTACAATTGTATACCACACCACAACGCGCAGACGCTGGTCGACGCTCTTGGCACGAACGCGCAGTGCATGGATGGATAGATGGATTGATATGGCTGTATACCCTTTAGATCGAGCGGTGGCTAACGCCACCAAGCCGTAATACTTAGTGAACCAAAAACTAAATTTATCTTGTTTTCCTTTAAATGATGAGATTGAGGAGTGGTACTTTGCAGTGAATGGTTTGATTTTCGGTTTAACTTTCACTCGTGCCTTGACTTTAGCCACCAATCGATAACCTCCTTCTAGTTGGTTCTACCCGCTTAAAGTTTATTTTGCCCTCCCTGCCTCTAAACCCCAGTGCTTTGAAAAGCTCTGCGCCATCATCCTGAACTAGCGGGTGATGCCATTTACAGAATATTATCAAGTGTTCGGCAGTTTCCTCCCCCTCTCCACACGCACTGCATAGCGTGTCTATACCCGTCGTATTTGGCCCGATATGTCTTGGTTCGCAATACTTCCATCCTCGCCTCAAACAGTAGACAACTACTTCGAGTATTATCATGGTGTGCAGTTGAAAGCAGCCAGTGCCTCTGGCGGTGGCGACACGAGAGACTGACCTTGAGCCGCTGCGTATTTTCGTGAACGTGTCGCACTAGCTTTATTTTTTAAAGCTACTTGATGATGATTATGTTCATGACAACTTAACTTTCCGCCAGATAAAGGGGGGGGGGTGGCACTCCATGTCCCCGAGGCACCTCCGAGGCAGACAAAAGGGACCCTTTTGGTTCTTAGCGGCTTCCTCTGCCAGGCGGATGACTTGTTGATGCGAAGGAGGGTCCTCACGCCACAGCAGCACTTCTAAAACCTCTCTACTAATTTATGCTTGATCGGCGATGCGAGCGACCCGCAACGCGCGGGGAACGAAGACCCTGATCAACGAACTTGGGCACTGCAGAAGCGTCGGTGCGAATTCATCGGCGAAGACGTTGTGCCATCTCGCGGGCAATATGTAAACAGTTCTTCTGCTGCGCTAACAGACCTCAGTGATGCTAGCGTGACTTTGGCTAAGCTTGAAGGTCAGATTGATGGAACGAGTCGTTTTCTGGATATGTACCTGGAGAAGTAGAGCGGTCGCTCTAAAGCTCTTGAGCAAGGCGTATCTGCTACTTTTGAAGTTTGCTCATCGTAGTTTTGAATACGCTCTTCTTGGCACCTGCATGGATATGCATGTTCCTGTATGTTTTGTTTCGGTGGAATTAGCTGGGACTTTTCGAAAAGTATTCCGAAATGGCAATGGGAATCATGATTGCTGTTGCGGGTGCCACAGCGCGGCACTACATAAATCAGACTGCATTACCTACTCTATGTATTTACTTGGCAGTGAGTGGAACAACTTTCTTTACGATCCGGTATAAAGGGGCTATTCCTCTATTTACTTGGTAGAAAATTGGACCAAACTTCGACCGGGAGGCCCAAGTTTGTCACAGTGACATAAAGGTCCAAGCTTAGGGAGCTTACACTCCTTTTATGTATACGCGAGTCAAGGGAGTCAAAGTACCAGTATGTTTTTATTGTTTTACTTTATTCTTTCGTTTTTCTACCTAACCTACGCCCACTGTAAAACTGATGTTCTGCGCGATTCGTAACTGATTTGGAAGTCAAGCTTTTACTTGGCGTTGCGCTTTGCTAAATTTCGTAGAAACTTTTTGATAGGGCGAATCCATGTTACACGCACACACACACACACACACACACGTACATACATACGCACCTACGTACCTATACATATACGCATTATGACATGCATGCTCTAACCGAGACGGATGTGTACATATGTTCAATATCGGTTGCCCGAGCGAGTTATTGGATCGTTACGAGAAGCTTACGTCACTCGCCAGCATGGGTCGGCAAAGAAGTTGGAGCTCACTCAATCAGTCTCACTGAGGAAATAAGTTTCGTGGTTAGGGCTTGCGTGCATGGATCCAGACTCACGGCCCGAGACGAGCGAGTCGACTCGTGAGTGGGTTTGCTTACCTAGGCTCGTCAGAGCTCAATGTAAAGACGTTGGTCGCATAGAATAGTTTACAATAAACGGGTTCTCGTGTTCATCTGCGCCGTTCTGAAGAACACAACAGTTTGTTGCCGTTTAGTGCCTTGAAGTGACCTTGGTTTTTGCACACTGCCATTACAGAGGTCGATATATGCGCACATGTTTCGTTTACTGTTGGCCTCCTTTCAAGCGCATATTTATCGCATTGCTATGAAGGTGTGTCTATGAAACTATAATGCCCTATTTTACTTTTTGCTGTATCGTTCTTTCGTGGAACAGCGCAAGTGTAAATATATGCTGTGGCATAGTGATTCGTCATCAGTAAGTTTTCTTTTTCCTCCTCTTTGCAGCTGACGTCACAGTGAATCCCCCCATCTTCGGTAATCAACGTGGGCGTCGCACCTTTAAACCAGTGGCTTCTGCGGAGAATTCTGCAACAGGTAAGAACCCCTGTTTCACATGAAGAAATTGCGTCGTAGAGCTTGTACGTCTATAACAAATGACTGATTCGTTCGAAATGGTTTCGGCTTGCAATTTCGCGCGTACAAATCGAGGTATTCGTCCATCATTCGGAACATTCGATCGGAGCTTGACAAGAACGCTGATACATTCTTCTGGGCTCCCTTTCCTTGACTCTTCACAAAATACCTCCTCATTGAAGGAACAGTGGTATAGCGCGGGAGGAAAAAAAAAATACGGACAACGGATAAAATGAAGACAGCGGCTATCCTCTTTCCACCGTGTTCCGTGTTTCTTTATTGCACTATGAGTGATAACTGACATACAATTATGTCAAAGAAAGGTTAGAGCATAATATTAGAAGTAATTGTAATGCAACTGTGAAGAAAGGAAAGGGAATGTAAAGTTAACTTGCCGTAGGGAAATGGACCGTACTTGCGACCTTCGAATAACGTGTTATTTTTCTTTCTTCACATTCGCATTACAATTACTTCTAGCAATATCCCCTGTATACTTTCTCTGGCATACTTATCTGTCAGTCCTCACTATTATTGTTTCTAGTAAAGAATACGAGCCCTTAAGTTTACCCTTCTTTCCTATATCGCACTATGGTATCTGGAGTGGGATGACGAACAACCAATGCGCCAGAACTAATTCCACCCTTCTGGAGCACAGCGAGTCCATCGCTGAATGGATTCGAGGTGAATGTTGACTTTCCGAGCCATCACATGTGCTTGGTGCACTCGTAGGGGATCTAGAGCGTCACGTTGCGGCATTGGAGTCTCGCCTACCGGAACATACATCAGCATGGTCACTGGAAGTGTGTCGTTTGACATTGACGATCATCTGCTGGTTTCCGAAGATATGTTTCTTGAAGGCTATAATTCCTTTGGCCTATTCCACGCCCTTTCCGTCATTGGGTGTCCTGGCAGAGTTATCTTTTTCCACTCCATCGTATACTGTCGCGACCAGCGCAAGCCGATGCAGGTAAAATCATGGTAATTGTAGGCTAAAGGGGGCCAATTTTGGTGAGAGCGTAGCCGAGATTTTATTGCGGGCGATAATTTTATACAGTGTACGGGAGGTATTCACTCGCATCACGTGTGTGTGCGTGCGCAAACGTGTGTAGATCAGTGGCTTAACAGGCACCTAATAACTTAATACCACCATTCTTCCCGCACTTAGTTTTTCGCTCCAATGAATGCTGGCTCTCCGCTGCCACCAGTGCTGTTATATCACATTTCATTTTCATTGTAGAGCTGTTGTTCACTTCGACATTTCACTTCTTTATATTTTTTTTATTATTATTTTCTTCATCTTCCGTAGTCTCCTCATTCCATTTACCATCACATATAAAATTGCATGTTCACGTTACAAAAAAGGAAGGTAAAAATTTGTTTTTCCAGTAAAGAGTGTCTGTCTGTCTGTCTGTCTGTTTGTCTGTCTGTCTGCCTGTCTGCCCGTCTGCCCGTCTGTCTGTCTGTCTGTCTGCCTGTCTGCCCGTCTGCCCGTCTGTCTGTCTGTCTGTTATGCGTCCTTTTATTTTAGATGCGGAAGCATCTTATACTCGCGCCTTGTAGTGCGCCGTCCGCACCGCTTCTCGAACATTCGACAGCTGACGCGCGCGCATGCGCCGTCGCGCCGTCGCCCACTCTTCCACCATCTGTGCATCCCTTCCTCCTCTACACACCGCGCGCGCTTCACTCGTCCACCATCTGTGCACCCTTCCTCCTCTACACACCGCGTTCAACATCTACAATTCTCCTGATTCTCCAGTGGACGCGCATGTGGCGTCGCGCTTTGAGAACATTCAACAGCTGACAGTGCATGCGCCGTCGCGCTGTATATATACTCAAGGTCGGCGCTCGCTCGCTCAGTTGCCGCTCGTCGGTTGGTTTGTACGGCGCGTCGACGTCCAAGGCCGCGGTGAAATGAATTCCAACGAATCCACAAACACAATGATCGACGTCCCTTCGACCAGCGCCGCCCTTTCGCATACGTGTGTACGTGTTCACTCATTTAACACCCCCTCCTACAACCACGTTAACCAATTTAGCCATCGACCCAAGTAAGTCGCACTTTAACACCCCGTTAACCAATTATATGGTCCGCATCCTCCTCAGTGTTCCCCCGAGGGAAGCTGCGGGCAATTTTTGCTCCTGTAATCTGCTCAACGAGAAAAAAACGAAAAACATGGATATAGTCTGTACTCTAGTGAATTGCTTTCTTTCGTTGTTGTCCTGGAGCTTAAGGTACCGGACGCTAAATTTCTGTGCCCACTCACGCCTTCCTTCCCCTCTTTCTATCTCACACCTATAGCGCTGGGCCAGCTCCTGCAAGGGTGCCATTTCCCCCTCGAACAAGCCACTTCACTCAGTCTCGCACACCCTGCCTCCCTGTATACTTCCCCATTTTAGTGAAAGTCGTTCGTTCCAATAAGTATAGGGGCAAACAACCAACTCACGCCACTGCGTAAACGTAACTCGGCTGCGTAGAATGGCTCTTACTCCGACCATAAAAGCCGTGCTTTCCTAAATGACGTGTCCTCCACTCAGTTCAGGAAACTTCAGCGAAGCTTGTCGCAGTTTGTTTCGCTGTAATCTCGACCCTACTTTGATTTCGCATTCTGTTCGCGACTTCATGAGCGCCATCACGATGATCGCATTTCCCGCCTTCAAGCTCGGACATGCGGGTTTCTCAAGAACGAGATAAACTAAAAAAAATATTACGTTAACTTGTATTAACGCGCTAGCCGTAAGGAATCCTAAATAAGCTATTATTACCGTGAGCGGAAGCGTTGATGTTGTTGGCCAACTCATCAGGCGTGTTATATTCTTGCGGCATTCTGTGAGCGAAGTGCCAAAACATCTTTTCACAGTTTGGGCACGTTTTGAAAAAGTGTTTTGCAATCTAAATTGTTTTTTGTTCTTTAGCGTTATCGTCCTCTTGATCAGTAAGCAATTCATTATATGGGGAAACTACTGCACGTAGATAGGTGCTAAAATTTTCAAGTTTATGGCGGCCAAATCGAGGAGCGTGCACATACGCTAACAGACGACGTTCACAGACGGTAGCTCTATACTGAACGCACATTTCTGACTTACCAAATGCATATATATATATATATATATATATATATATATATATATATATATATATATATATATATATATATATATATATATATAATGCTTTGTGTGTGTGTGTGGGCGTCAGATTGTGTATGTGTCTTATCATGTAATAATAATAATAATAATAATAATAATACTATTATTAATAAATCTAGATGAAGTGATATCTGACCATGCAAATATGTGAACCCCGTAGGTGCAGTTTAGATGTCTGAAAGGTTTAAAATGGGAGTTTATCCGGTAAATCCGAATTGCCAAAAGTGTTACGGGCGAGCGTTTATTTAACGTATTTTTATTAACCCGGAAACATGGAGCATTAACTGTAATTTAGCAAAGAGATGGGAAAGCCAAATCAGGGTAAAGTCTCCTGGTGGGGCAACCAGGTGAAAAGTGGGCACGTGAGAGCGTGATGATAATCATTGGGTTTTTAAAGTCCCAAATCGTCGATACGATTATAAAACCTCGGATATGATCACGTGAGAGCATAAACCATCCATACTATAAGCATGCGCAGTATAGCGTAGCAAGGGGTGGGGAAAAAAGTGTGGACTAAGCAGCCCCTTGCACGACATATCCATGCATAACAAGGCAGGAGGTGGTAAAGCGAAGCAAGGTGGGGAGGACAATGGAAGACAGGATGGGAGTAGGTGAAGCATGACCTTGTTGTGTATAGTACTATACGTACTAGTAGTATAGTAGTATAGTATAGCAAGGTTGCGGGAAAGGGAGGGTGAGGCGGGAAAGAAGGGAGAGGTTAAAGCATAGTACAGCCTTATATATGATGCTGCAGCAAGAGTTCGGAAAAGGAAATGAGCGGGAGGAGGAGCGATGTGAGTGTGAGAAGGAGAAGAGCACCAACTACGCTGTTTTCTTCAGTCGTCGATACGGTGATTCGTGTTTGAAGTACGCACTAGTACCGGGATGTCGCTATCGCGTTCAACTCATAAAGGTGAAGTTTTAGGGTCGGCCCTCATTTTTTTTCGACTGAAGTACAAAGAACCTAGTCAAAATAAAAATAAGTTTCTCTCTTTTTTTTTAAAGGAGAAATTACAGATTGCCGTGCACAGGAAGGAAAGGGGAAGGGGTAGGCAGGGACTAGACGCGAGTGAGTGAGTGAGTGAGTGAGTGAGTGAGTGAGTGAGTGAGTGAGGGTACAGAGACGCCATGTCGGCCAAGGGCGCGACGGGATCGGTATGCGCCTCATTTCTCGGCGTCAACGCATTCTACTCCGCATACGCGCTCTGTGCCTAACGGCGTTGCATGCGGCCGCGAACCCTCGCGCACAAGGAAGGAAAAAACAGGTGCGAAAAGAGAGAAACTCCGAACAGCGTCTACAGAATGGAAGCAGCAGACGCAAAAGATACACAAATTCAAATGACCTTTTCTTTCAAGCTCGACGACTCCCCTCCACCCATCCATTCTCTTCTCTGTAGGACATTGACGTGGTTCGAGATATTTGAGAAAACGATTTAACCCTTTCGTGTGTTTGTATGGCGTACGCCCCAAAGAACACGGGCGAGCCTTGGACGGTGCGCAAAAAAGCTTTTCGCACCTCTTCTAATGTGTTTCTTTCCCTTGTTTCTCCTAACTCCAGCGTATTGATGCTTTGAAAAAAAAAATTAAGACAATAAGAGTGAACATGTGCAGGGTGCGGAAATTTGCTCGAAGTAAACATCATTTAGGACAGGGACTGCTTGTCCACTCTTTAACGCTGTGCCAGCTTTGCGGAGGCGTCTGGGTTGCGATAGTTTTTAAAAACAAGTAAAAAAAGGAAGAGTAAATGTTTTTCGGTGGTATCTCTCGTTATCCGCGCAGCAACGAACAAAGAAATACTGGCGTAACGACTGA